TCAGGCTTTTTATATGTCTTGGTAAATCTGTGAAATACCAATCAATCTTTTCTTTTAATTTCCTTTCTAATAACTGACGTCTCCAATGTTCTTGGGTTCTTGTTAAGGACATGTCATTCTTTAACCAAATCTGCCTCTTATGAACACGAGCCAGGTATAACTCCCCACATTTTTCAGGCGGAGGTTTCTTTCCTCGTCTCGCCCACCATTCCTTCGCATCCCGTAAAAATCTTTGATGATCTAGTTCAGATAGCATGAATTCGTTGTGATTAATATTCAACCATGCTTGAGTTAGCGATTTTTTAAAAATTTCCTCCCTCTCGAAATATGACAAAATTTCTTTGTGTGTTCGATCCACTGTCAACTGACATTCCGATGGAGTTGAAGATGGACTCGATATCATCCCCCCTCCGAGCACAAAATCGTCGTATATTCGCCTGGTCTTTAAATCTAAATCCATACGTAATTTTTCGATGGCAATGTCGGCTGATAAAAGAGTATTTAATTCCACCAATCTGTTCACCCTTGGCACCACAACGGTTTGTAATTCAAACATGATATCTTCCAAATTCTTTCGAAGGGCTTTACTTTTCGATTGAGAGTTGGACGGCGTCGAAGGTGTAGAGCTATCATCACCATTATTGGATTCTTGCTCAATGGACAGGCGAAGTCGTTTTCGCGCCAAGCTATTATTTGTCTTGTTAGAAATATACTAAACCAAATAAAATCGTGTGTATGTTCAAAGTTTAGTAAGACAACAGCAAACAGGTGATCTCATTGTCATCAATTAATTACCTCGTGAATTTCTAATTTAAGTTCCTTGGGGAACCACCACTCTTCCATGATCGATAGTTCCGCTTTTAACTTCCAATCACTAAAGCATTGGAGAACCGACCGCATCCTTTCAGAATAAGACTCATCTTGCTCCCTCTGTTTTCTCTTGCGTTTAACGTTCTCCTTTGCAAATTTCTCAGATTGACGCTGCTTCACATCAAGGTCCAAGTCGCATTGTGGGTCAGAATATTTTTGTCGTCTTAAATGATCAAGATGATTTCGAAGGTAAAACGTACAACTCATGCCAAGATCATACACATAAGTTTTCCATGGCTGGTTGAGTAAAGAAAAAGAACAGTTGGTTACCACAAGTTTACACCACGAATCACAATGTCTTTGGACCAAACTTTACCTTGAGTACTTCAATCTCCTTGGGGGACAAGGTGAATGCGTATAGAGCGCTCTTGTTAATCAATTGTCTGACAACGCAGAATCTACACAAGCGAACCTCCCATATAGGAATGGGATCACCCGATTCACCACAGACAGTGCATACTTCCGTCACGTAATACTTGTAAGATTCGACAAACTAGATGAGAAAGGTTGTAAATGGGAGGTGAACATACATACGATCGTGTAGAATCAGATGAAGGACGCATAAACGTGATTAATTACCTGAACCTAATTTTATCAGGAACATTTACACAATGTATAAAGGTTAGCACATATGATCAAGGAATCTCCGAACGACAGCATTAATAAATTCAACCTACCTTCCAATCAGATACTTTGAATTCTCTCGATTCCTGCTTGACCACAGATTGCCTGATCTTTGGTAAAACGGGGGCATGTATGGCCCTTTCAACTTGTTCGCCAATATCCATAGCACACTCATCAATCGGACAATACGTAGCCAACAGCTTATAATACAAGAATCTATACGGGCTATGTTGTCCACGTATCATATGATAAAATGATTTTGACACTTGCTCCATTGCAGCTAATGAGGGTCCTGAAAGTGTCGGAGGTTGGAGTACGTGTTAACATCATGTGAAATCAAAAGAAAGTTACAATCATAAAATCGAAAGGATTAACTTACCATCTGATAAATC